ACCCAATTATGTGTGTGGCTGTTTTTCATTAAACTTTATCATGGGAATTTTCTAACGTTTTTGAAAACTCCTTTTAAGCTTAATTTTTAGTGATGTTTTAAGTTTCTTTGTTTTCTATCTTCTTTTTACCCCAAGCAGGCCACTTTAAAATCTTTAACCTTAATGTTGCTTTAAGGTGTGTCTTTAAGGAAGTTTGACTAAAGAATACTAGACCAGGTGGAAAAGCATAAAATGTTGACTATCTGAATTTATGGAAATCTCCATGTCCTACCTTTTATAAGAACAAAATAACATTATCAAAAATGTAAATATGTACAATCTTTGACCCAAAAATTTCCTCTAGGCATTTATTCAACAGAAACACAAACAATGAATATCTCTTCATAGCATTTTTTTTTTTGTAATGACAAAAAAACTGTAAACAAATGTACACCAGTAAGGGCTTGGACAGATAAATTATAGTACATCTAAAGTGCAATACTATGTAGCCATTACAGTGAATGAGGTAAACCCATATTTATTCATGTGGAAAGATAGCCAAAATAATGGGTAAGTGAAAAAGTTGGGGGCACCTGGGTGGCTCAGTCAGTTAAGCATCCAACTTCGGCTCAAGTCATGATCACACGGTTCGTGGGTTTGAGCCCCGCGTCGGGCTCTGTGCTAACAGCGCAGAGCCTGGAGCCCGCTTTGGATTCTGTGTCTCCCTCTGTCTTTCTGCCCCTCCCCCACTCATGCTCTGTCTCTCAAAAATAAATAAGCATTTTAAAAAATTTTTTAAAAGAAAAAGTTGCCACTCTGTGTGATCTCATCTCTGTAAATAATAATAAGATAGAATAGGTATATAAAATCTAGAAAATCTGCACTAGACCATTAACCCCTCCAGATAAACTTCCATGGTATAAATTACACATTTCTATAATGTGGTCTTTTTTCCTTTTTTTTTGTACAATCATTTATTATGTTTCTAATTAAGATAAAACAAAGTCCACTATTCAAAGATCTCATTCTGCCAGTCCTTCAAGATTCTCTGTTGGTCATGAGGCACTGTGTGTTTCCATTTGTTTTAGTAGATCCTAGATTTTTTCTCTTTTCCTTTATTTATATGGCCTTTGGTAACTAAATTTAATGATTGAATGGTAAACTTCAGTATGCATGTACTAGACCATTCTGCACACTAAAGCATTGGTCCTTTAACACCAAATCTTTATTATAGACGATTTGAGAATTCACCAGTGCACCTAGATATATTTATTTAGGGGAATATGGACCTTAGAATTATAATTATTTTTTTAAAACTCTACATGTGTATTTCTGAGCTTTTTTTTTTCCTATTATATATGATGCAATTTTAAAAAAGTTTTAAAAAAACTCATTTGAGGAGTTTTACATTAGATCCTCGAGACGGGAATGATAATTCAGGAACATAGTGCCTACATCCTGCTCTTCATTGTGTCTTTATTTACAGAGCTTCTCGTTGACAGTTCTGTTGACAATCTGACATAACTGTTCCTGAAACAGAAGTTATATGGTCAGGAAGAAATGAGAAAACAGAAATTAGTCTCTAATTGCTTTAATACTGGCTACTGTGCTTACACACCTGTTGAGATTTATAAAATCACCAAGATTATATAAAAGTTACACATGAATAAATGACGTGTTCTAAAGAAAGTTACAGTTTAACCTTACATCCTTAACAAAGCCCACTCCCTCCTGAAAGAGGAGTTAAGAACAGGACTCTTGGAGTACCCAGGAGGCTTGTGATGGATCGAGCTAATCCCAGCTCTAAATCTAAGATCAGGCCCTCAGGAAATGCGCCTAGGTCTGAGGATGTTTATGGTTCGAGCTGAGCTTTTCCCAGGTTAGCTTGTTTTTTTGTGTTCTGTTTTGTTTTGGCTTTGGGTTTGGGGTTCTTTTTGGGGGGGGAGGGGGGTAACATATTTACTTTCAATCCTATATTTATGCTTTCAGGCAACATGTACTGAGAAATACTATGTATCAGTCAGATACTGTCTCCTTAAGGAATTTATAGTCTACTGAGGACAGTTGATTACAGTGTGATAAAATAAATCATTAGGGAGAAGCTTATACAGGCACACCCAGGTGGGGCACCTAACCTAGAGGGTGGAGTAGAAGGAAAGACGTCAGAGAGGGTACATGGATGATGTGATGCCTGTAAGCAATCCTTAAGAACAAGGCAGACTTGGGGGAAGAAGGATATTGGATCTTATGGACAGAGAGAACAGTGTGTACAAAGGCCAGTAGGCAAAAATGATACATGAAGAGTACTTGAAATAGTTCTGGGGGCGTTTGGCTGGCTCAGTGGGAAGAGCATCCAACTCAGTCTCAGGGTTGTGAGTTTGAGCCCCATGTTGGGTGCAGAGTTTACTAAAAAAGATAAACCAACTTAAAAGAGTTCTGGAAAGTGTTCTAGGAGAAAGAGGTCAGGGAGAGACCAGTGAGCATTTTCTTAGCTTGAGTGCTATACTAAAGAATTTGGACTTAAGGAGCATTTACAAGATCGTTAAGTAGAGAAGAAGAGTGTTATATCATAAGATTTGAGCATAAAGATCATCCCAGCTATAATGGGGAACCTGGAATTGCAAGACCTCTACCTCTGACAGTGTAGTGGTCAGATATTAAGTCTTGAATAAACCTAATTTCTTTTTTTTAATTTTTTTAAATGTTTTATTTATTTCTGAGAGAGTGACAGTGTGAGCAGGGGAGAGTCAGAGAGAGAGAGAGAGACAGAATCTGAAGCAGGCTCCAGGCTCTAGGCTAGCTGTCAGCACAGAGCCCGACGTGGGGCTTGAACCCATGAACTGTGAGATCATGACTTGAGCCAAAGTCAGACGCTTAATCAACTGAGCCACCCAGGCGCCCCAAATAAACCTAATTTCTAAAGTAATCATTGGGCTTTGGAGAGTAACAGAAATCCTCGGGGTCCCCAAACAAACATCAGACTTAAAATCTCAGAGGTGAGCAATAAACAAACGAGAAAAACAAACTGCCCTAGGACAAATTACCAAATCAGCCCTGAGATCCAGGACTTGGGTAGAGAGGAATAAACTGCAATATTGAGACATAGGGAAGCTAGGTTTAAATATGGTGCCAGTTGGGGGTGCCTAGCTGGCTCAGTCAGTGAAGCATGCAAGTTTTGATCTCAGGGTTGTAAGTTCGAAACCACGTTGGGTATAAAGATCACTTCTAAAAAACATCTTTTGGGGCACCTGGGTGGCTCAGCGACTCTTGGTTTCGGCTCAGATCATGATCTCACCGTTTGTGAGTTTGAGCCCTGCATCAGGCTCTGCACTAGCAATGTGTTTCCTGCTTAAGATTCTCTCTCTTTGCCTCTCCCTGCTTGTGCTCAAAGTAAATAAATAAGCTTTAAAAAATAAATAAAGGCTTTTTAAAAAATAAAATAAATGTGGCCCCTGTCATGTGGCAGTCCTCCAATCCCATCCCATCCCCCATGCCTGATTCTCATCAGAAGCAAATACAGATCTTCCTCTCGGAAAGAAGATCTCTTTAATTTAGGCCTCCAGGATCTCAGATTCATGAAAAAATTGAATATAGGCCACTTCTTAATCAACTACCAAACATGCAAAGAAACAAATACCCATGAGAAAGAAACAAATAATAGGTCATTTGTAGACGTCAGATATTAACAATGACCAGACAGTATAAAGTATCTATGCCATTTTTAAGAAATAAAACAATCACAAAACAAATAACAAAAAGGAATAATCACAAATGACCAAACAAATGTGAAAAATAACTACATAGAGCTTTTGGAAATGAAAAAAAGTTGAAATCAAAGTCTCATGGTTAGTTTAACACATTAGATATAGATGGAGATAGTAAATTGGAAGCTAGATATAAAATAAATCTTCAGAAAGCAATTTAGAGAAAAAGGAAGTGGAAAATATGAAAGCTGGGTTCAAGACATGGGGGTTAGGATAAAAAAGATCAACATCCCAGAAAGAAAAAATAAAATGGAGGAGAGCCAAAATTCTTAGAGGTAAAAGGTGAGAATTTTTGAAAGCTAAGAAATGGACCTAGAGAAACAGGAAGCACATGCCAAGCAGGATAAGTAAATTCACATGAAGTTGCGTAGTAGTCAAAGTGTAAAACACCAAGGGAGATCTTAAAGGACTTAAGAACAAAAGACAAATCACCTGCAAGAAACCACCATCAATGAGAATGATAGGTTTCTCACTGCAACCTGGAAGCTAGGAGAGGGCTTAGTGTCTTCAGTGTGATAAACCTGTCAACCTTGGATTTTATGTCCAGAGAAGCGATCTTTAAAAAAAAACAATGGTGAAATAAAGACCTTTCAGATAAAATGGAGTTGGCCTTCAACAAACTTTCGCTTAAGGAAATTCTACTTTAGGAAGAAGGAAAATGGTACCAGAAAGGAGGTCTGAGGTGCAAGAAGGAATGGTGAGCAAAGACATTGGTAAGCATCTGAGTAAATCAGACCTGTATAAAATAATGATAATGCCAATGATATTGTCTAATGTGAGGTTAAAAAAAAAAAAAAGATAAAATATTGGTCAACTAGAAGAGTTGACAAGTATTGATTTGTCTTAAAACTAAGCGACTACTGGCTCAGTCGGTTAGGCGTCATGATCTCAGGTTTATGAGTTTAAGGACTGACAGTGCAGAGCTTGCTTGGGATTCTGTCTCCCTCTCTCTCTGCACCCCCCCCCCCATTTGCACGCTCTCTCTCTCAAATAAATAAATATAAATATAGAATTAAAAATTGACATCCCAATCATTAACAGCTGAACCCTGGGAATTCACAAAGAGCTTGAAGTCAGAAAATCTTACTTCGGGCATTTAGATTAAGGGAATTAAAGAGAGATTCTGTTCTTTTATGCTTCGAGGACATGTAATGTGACATGAAATGAATCATAACAAAATGAACCATCCTTAAGGTGCCGGCTGCTAATCCATAGCCCTTTCAGAACATTCTTTCTCTTCTTTTTTTCCTTTTCTAGGGTTACACATCTTTCTGGAATGACTGCATATCATCTGGCCTGCGAGGGGGCATCCTGATAGAGCTGGCCATGCGGGGTCGAATCTATCTGGAACCCCCCACCATGCGTAAGAAGCGACTACTGGACAGAAAGGTGCAGCAGCCTTGTGAAGATTCTCCTAACTTATGAAAGGGAGAGGCCGATGGTCCACTTTGGAGAAATGGGAAGATCTGAGTAGTGAGACAAGATAAATATCACTGACTCCGCTGTCCCGTTGTCTAACAGGCTTACTTACCCTCTAGCAGAGGGAGTGATTCAAGTACTCATTATCTAAAGAGTTAGAAGAAGCTTATAGTTTTGTCTTTTTTATGCAGAAAAATCACATTTAGGATGCCGTTGATTGTTACTCCTGTATATCTATAACTCTAACATGATGAAATAGAATATTCTATAGGAGGAGGGCAAACACCTGGGTCAGGTGCAGTCTTTGTTTCATTCTAGTCATGCTCAGATCACCATTAGATTTTTCTCCTTCCATTTACACCAGGTCCTCCCCACCGTGAGCTTGACTCCTATCTCCATTTTCTTACAACTTATTCTTTCCACTCATAACTTCGCTGTCATACTCAGAACTCTACCAAAAGTACATTCTTTGGTATCACCAGCTGGCTCTATGTCCATCACGGGGCTTGAACTCACAACCCGGAGATTGTGAGTCACACGCTCTACTGACTGAGCCAGCCAGGCGCCCTATCACCAGCTTCTCTTTTGTCTTCAAGTTATTTTTCTCTTTTAACCTAGACGTGGCATTTGATATTTTTTGACCACCTCCCCCTGCTTGAAATTTTCTCCACTCTTAGCCTTTGTTATATTACATTTTCTTGATTCTTGCCTGTACCCTATTTCCTATATTTCTCCATTCCTTCACACTCGAGTCTCAGTTTGTATCCTTTTGCATAGCTTTATTTCCTTCCAGAGATACCATTTATCTTCTAGCTTTATCTCTCACCTCCATGATATTACCCTATCAAATCTTAGGCCTGTCTTCTTTTTCTACCCCTACGAACATATTTAACTATTGACTAGACATTTCAACTTAGCTATCCCTTATCAGTTAAAACCAAACTTAGCAACTTTTGCCCTAAAGTGGCTTCCTTTTCTGACTTTCTTACCTTTATTAATTGTTTCACAGGTTAGTTTTCCAGACCCCAAAGTTATTATTGCATATTTTCTTCATAATCTTCTATATCCAGTTTGTCACTAGGGCCTACTTCGAATGTTATTTCTGTCTCCCTACAATCACTCCATACTGGATGTTAAACTTCTTGACGACAGCGACAGCGTATTACGTTGTTTTGCATTTCCTACAACATTTAACCCATAGTGTATATACAGTGTATTGAAAGATTTTAATTTGAATTAAGGGAATAAACCAAGGTCCCTTGTTTCTTCTTTTAAAGGTATTGCTGAAGTCAGATAGCCCAACAGGGGATGTGTTACTGGACGAAACTCTCAAACACATCAAAGCAACTGAACCCACAGAAACCGTCCAGACATGGATAGAGCTACTCACAGGTAAGGTGGCTCCAAGCGGCTCAAAAATCCCACACTTTTATCATCTTTATCCTACTAGTTCAAGAAATGGAGCACAGGAATTCAAGATGCTGGGCAAGAAATATTTGGTTCACTGTTTAACTGTATTAAAGAGGGACGGAAGAGACATGGTTAATCAACACACAAAGCTTTCCAAAGCTTCATCTTACATCCACCACCCGACCGCATAAGCTCTTTAATACTGTTCTTCACCAGAAAAAATGTTAATATCTTTATTGATGTATAATTCATACACCGTACAGTCGACCGATGGAAAGTACACGATTAAATGGATTTTAGTATCTTCACACAATTGAGCAGCCGTCCTCACAGTCCTAATTTAGAACATTTTCATCACCCCAAAAATAAACCCCATACTCATTAATAATCCTTCCCAAGCCTCCTCCCAGCTCTAGGCAACCGGTAATCTACATTCTGTCTCCAATGATTTGCTTATCCTCGATATTTCATATAGATGAAATGTACAACCTTTTTTTTTTTTTGTGACTGGCTTAAAGTAATATTTAAAGTTTATCTATGTTTTATCATGTACCAATAATTTATTCTCTCTTTTTTTAAGGGTAAATTCAAAAACTTTAATATAAGTAAATAAATCTATGGCATAAAATTTTAGGAGAATCTTCCACAGGGCACTTTGAGGTCACAACCAGTGTCACCTCCTGGAACAGTTTTTTTTTAATTGAAATTTTAATCGAGGTGTTTGTAGATTGACATGAAGTTGTAAGAAATGATACAGAGATCCCTTATACACTTACCCAGAATCCCCAGGGATAACCAGTTACAAAGCGATAGTGTAACATGACCACCAGGATACTGACATTGATACAATCTATCAATCTTACTAGAACTTCCCCAGGTTTACCTTGACTTCTTTTTGTCACCCAATAATACTTCATTGTATAGATGTACCACATTTATTTGTCAGTTCATTAGTTGATAGACACTTGGATTTTTTCCACTTTTTGGCTATTAGGAGTAATACTGCTGTGAACATGTATGGACATGTTTTTGTGTGGATCTGTTTTAGTTTCTTTTGGGTATATAGTTAATGTTTTCTACTGTGGTAGGATGCATATGATATAATCTTTATTGCTTCTACCATTTATAAATGTACCATTTACTGACATTAAATACATTCACAGTGTTATTTAACCATCACCTCAATCTGTACCCAAAGCTTTCTCGTCCCAAACATTCCTCTTTCTCCCCGCCCCACTCCCCTATTCCCTGGCAACCTCTTTCTGCCTGTTGTCTTTATGAACTTGGCTATACCAGGTAACTCATGTAAGTGGAATCATGCAATATTTACCCTTCTGTATCTGGCTTATTTCACTAAACAGAATGTTTTCAGTGTCCATTCATGTTGTAACATGTGTCAAAATCTCATTCCTTTTTCTGGCCAAATAACATTTCACTGTACGGATATACCACATTTTGTGTATTTATTTTGAGACAGATCGTGCATGAGCGTGAGCAGGGGAGGGGCAGAGAGGGAGAGAGAGAATCCCAAGCAGGTTCCACACTGGCAGTACAGAGCCCAACATAGGGCTTGATCTCATGAACTCTGGGATCACGACCTGAGCCAAAATCTAGAGTTAAATGCTTAACCAGCGGAGCCACACTCATGCCTCACCACATTTTTTTTATTCGTTTCATTTGTTAATGGATGCTTGGTTTGTCTCCACCTTTTGGCTATTGTAGATAATGCTGCCATGAACATCAATATACAAATATCTCTTCAAGTCCCTGCTACCCATTCTCTTGGATATGGATCTGAGAGTAGAATCACTGGCTCATATGATAGTTCTATGTTTTGAGAAATCATAAAACTGTTTTCTACACAGGCTGCACCCTTTCTCACCAGCCATGCATAAGAGTTCCAGTTTCTCCACATTGTCATCAACATTGTTCTATTTTGGGGGGGGGGGGGGTTAGGGTTTTTTTTGTTGTTGTTTGTTTTGTAAAGTTTACTTTGAGAGAATGAGAGAAAGTGGAGGAGGGGCAGAGAGAGAGAGAGAGGGTGAGAAAGAATCCCAAGCTGGCTCTGTGCTGTCAGCGTGGAGCCTGACACAGGGCTTAGTCTCAGGAACTGTGAGATCATGACCTGAGCCAAGATCAAGAGCTGGACTTTTAACCGACTGAGCCACCCAGGTCCCCCTGTTTTGTTTTGAAGTATAGCCATCCTCGTAGGCATGAAGTGGTATCTCATTGTGGTTCTGATTTGCACTTCTCTAATGTCCAGTGATGATCATCCTTTCCTGGGCTTACTGACCATCTGTATATCTTCTTTGGAAAAATGTCTGTTTCAGTCTTTTGCCCTTTTTTTTTAATTGGTTTCTGTTGTTGTTACTGTTGAGTTTTGGAAGTTCTTTATATATTCTGGATATTAATCCCTTATCAGATATATCATTTATAAATATTTTTTCCCATTCTGTAGGTTGTTTCTTCAACTTTTTGATGGTAATCCTTGATGCACAAAAGTTCTTGATATTGATTCAATTGAATCAGTTAATTTTTTTTCTTTTCTTGCCTCTACTTTTGGTCTCATATCCACGAAAAGACTGTCCTTTCCCCTGTTGAATGGTCTCAATAGCCTTGCTGAAAATCAGTTGATCATAGAGGAGAAGATTTATTTCTGGGCTCTCTTTTCTATTGCCTTGATCTATGTTTGTCCTTATGCAAGTACCATACTATTTAACTTACTGTAGCTTTGTAGTAAGTTTTGAAGTTGGCAAGTTTGAGTCGCACAACTTTATTGTTTTTCAAGATTGTTTGGCTGTCCTGGGCCTCATGAAATTCCATATGAATATGTGATCAGCTCTTCCCATTTTTGGTGGGAGAGGCTTTCAGAATTTTGTTAGAGATTGTGTTGAACCTGTAGATCCCTTTGACTGGTATTGACATCTCAAAAATGTCGACCCTTGGGGCGCCTGGGTGGCTTAGTCGGTTGAGCGTCCGACTTTCGCTTAGGTCATGATCTCGCGGTTCGTGGGTTCGAGCCCCGCGTCGGGCTCTGTGCTGACAGCCAGCTCAGAGCCTGGAGCCTGTTTCAGTCTGTGACTCCCTCTCTCTCTGACCCTCCCCTGCTCACACTGTCTCTCTCTCTCTCTCCCCTAGAAATAAAAAATAAATAAAATAAAATAAAGAAATGGAACTGCTTTCCTAATTTCCTTTTCAGACTGTCCATTACTGGTATATAGAAACAACTGATATGTATGTTTCTTGTACCCTGCAACTTATCTGAATTAGTTTATTAGCTCTAGTAGCACTTTTGTGTGCTCTTTGGAATTTTCTCTACAGTTGGCCCTTAAACCACATGAGTGTGAACTGCACAGGTCCACATCCTTGTTCCTTCTCGAACAGTTCTGGTTGCAGTGGGGAAAGCAGGCATCCTTATGTTGTTCATGACCTTCAAGGGAAGACTTTTAGTCATATGCTATTGAATGTGATGTTAGCTGTGGGTTTTTATACCCTTTAAGTACCCCATGGGGCACCTGGGTGGCTCAGTCAGTTGAGCGTCTGACTTCGGCTCAGGTCACAATCTCACGGCTTGTGGGTTTGAGCCCCGTGTTGGGCTCTGTGCTGGCAGATCGGAAACTGGAGCCTGCTTCAGATTCTGTGTCTCCCCCTCTTTCTCCTCCTCCCCTGCTCATGCTCTGTCTCTCTCTGTCTCTCAATAAGAAATCTTAAAAAAAATTTTTTAATAAAAAAAGTAAGTACCCTTTATTCTGTTCAGAAATTTTTTTTTTTTTTTTTTTTAATTTCTAGGAGAGAGAGAGAGACAGCGTGAGCAGGGGAGGGTCAGAGAGAGAGGTGGTCACAGACTGAAACAGGCTTCAGGCTCTGAGCTGGCAGTCAGCACAGAGCCCGACGCGGGGCTCGAACCCACGAACCGCGAGATCATGACCTAAGCGAAAGTCGGACGCTTAACCGACTAAGCCACCCAGGCGCCCCAGAAATTTTATTTTTTTTATTTATTTTTTTAATGTTTTTTTTTTTTAAAATAGTTTATTGTCAGCTTGGTTTCCATCAGAAATTTTAAATCATATTTTAAATCACGAAGGGGTGTTCATCTTTGTCACATGTCCTTTCTGAGACAAATGAGATGACTGGCTTGTTTTACTCTGTTAATGTGATGTATTCGCTGATTCGTTTTTATTGAGGTATAATTGACATACAACATTGTATTAGTTTCAAGTATAGAACACATTGATTCAGGATTGGTATATTGTGAAATGATCACACTATATCTACGTAACATCCATCACCATATATTGTTATAATTTTTTTTTCTTGTGCTGAAAACTTTTAAACTCTCTCTCAGCAACTTTCAAATATACACTACAATGTTGTTAACTATAGTCACCATGCTGTTTATTACATCCCTAGGACATATTTATTTTATAACCAGAAATGTGTATCTGTATTTTGACTACATTCACCCATTTTGCCCACCCCCCAACCCCTGCCTCTGGCAACCGCCAATCTGTTCACTGTATCTCAGAACTTTCTTGTTTTGGTTTTGGGTTTTTTTCCTTAAAGATATTATTTTTAAATAATCTCTGTACCCAACGTGAGGCTGGAACTTAAAACCCTGAGATAAGAGTCACACACTCTACCAACTGAGCCAGCCAGGCATCACTTTTGGGTTTTTGTTTTTTAGATTCCATATATGTAAGTGAGATCATACCGTATTTGTCTTTCTCTGTCTCTCTTATTTCGCTTAGCATAACGCCCTTGGGCTCCATCCATGTTGTTGCAAATGGAAAATTTTCTTTTTTTATGGCTGAATACTATTCCAGTGTGTGTGTCTGTGTCTGTGTGTGTGTGTGTGTGTGTGTGTGTACACATTTCCTTTAATCATTCATTCATTGATGGACACTTGGGTTACTTCTACCTCTTGGTTATTGTAAATAATGCTTCAGTGGACATCAGAGTGCATGAAGTTTTTATATTCATTA